TCCCGTTTCGTTTCGTTTCGTTTCGTTGAATACAGATTCCCGTTTCGTTTCGTTTCGTTTCGTTTCGGCGATTATAGTAAGCCCCAAAAAGAATGTGAGATTCATAATGTAGTACAAATAACCAATAACTCTCCAATTTCGTTATACAAAGGAAAGAATTGCTGCTTTAGAAAACAAAATGAAAAAGTCTCAAGGTAGGATCAAGGTAAGTACGTGGAGCCAATTCAGTCTTCAAAATAGTTGAGTTAAAGTTAATGTTTGCATCGGTCATAGTGTGACGCCTGTAAATAGGGTGAACTTCCATTGACAATGATTTCTGAAAGTTGTGTTTTTCTGACGACAAGACAGTACAAGAAAGCTAAACGTCCACAGTGTTGTACAGTCGCATATGTATAATAGAGTTTAGTATAAACATACTAATGGACTATCACTCATACTGCACTGTGATTGGCTACTCTACTAATGGTCTAATTTGTGATAGACCACTCGCGGGAAAATCTCATTAATAAATTATTTTAAGGACATTTCAATTTGTTTTCATTATTTGACCGATTAGTATGTTTATACTAAAACAATTAGACCTCTCGACCTCGTGGACTACGAGCTAATAGCCCACCTCGCGGACTCGGCCTCATGGGCTATTAGCTCGTAGTCCACTCGACCTCGAGATCTAATTGTTAAATAGTATCGAGTGTTTGAACTTCTCACGTTTAAAATTCATTTCGTCAAATTTCTCGACATCAAGACCTTTACTTTGAAATGGCATCAATGGCGAAATGAAGTGAAGCGTTTTATTTTTTTCGCGATATCTGACCTCGCCCTTATTTTGTTATCTTTTTTATTAGGTGCGCACGTACGTACAGTCAATCCCAATAGAACGTTCTTCACTTGTAAATCCCACTTCTCTAGCTAAAGTACTAGATAAAGACAACAACAATTAAGTAATTTTCATAGAAGGATTTTTAGAATTCCGAGGAAGAATTTTAATCCTAAACTTGAGATAAATAGTGAATTAAATCATTATCGACATTATAATGAATTTTTCGAGTCTATATCGATGAATATTCTTTGTATGTCCTTGACAACAAGGATAATGATGGTCTACGTATTTTGTACACACGAATTTTTACGCCTCGATCGTTATTCTCTTTTGAAAAAGACGTTGCAGGGACGCAGAAAGGCGACAAACGGTCAGTTTTTCTGGACATTGGAAATTAGAATTGTTTTTCCTTCTTTTTACCAACGGTAATGTAAGTTAGACGCTTGACGGATCTGTCTGCAATATTGTCTAATGAAGTTAATATTATTGTATCCATATGTTGAATGATAGCATTACTTGTGTACTATACATAAAACACAAATTGATTGAATATGTTTTGCACTGAATAATTCCCCATATTTCTTATGTGCAAAGGGAAGAATTGGTGCTTTAGAGGGCAAAATGAAAAAGGCCCAAGGTAAAATCAGGGTAAGTGCGAAGACCTTACACCATTACGCCGTTAGATATTGTCAGTAAAAGGGGACTGCAATAGTTATCGTGAGGCTGGGGGAGATAAGAAGTGAAATGCAAGTGTAAGATAGAGGGGACTATAAAACATGGAGGCGAGATTATGAGTTATGGAGGTTCTTACTAATCCACACTCCTGAAAATAACAAATCGTTCTAACGCCCAAGATAAAGTACTCTGCTCTGCTCTGATTTCGTAATTCAACGTTTTCGCGTCCGTAGTGTTTTTTTTACGGCAGAATTCGCTACAACTTGAAAACAATTTCTCTTAAATCAAACAAATTCGGCCAAAAGCGTAGGAGATTTCAAGAGCAATATTTTGCAGGACTTCTTAGCTCACCTATATCTAATATCAAATCCACGCCAGCTATCCGCAGAGAGAAGCACGTTCAACCCCTCCAATTAGTACAATAGCCTTATTAGATCAACCCATAGGTGTGTTAGAGGCTCTAGAACCCCTTTTAGATCGAAAGAATTTTTATCAGATGATTTTAAGCTGAACCACCTTGAGCAGATTTGTCAGTAAATTTTATATCACTGCTCTTTTCAATGTTACTGTAAGAGAGGTTACTGAAAATAGTAGTTTTAGATAGCCGAAATTGTAGGAAAATGTAAATATTTATAAGTTATTAATATTATTGTAAACAGATTTATGAGAAATAAAGTTATTATGATTATTAAAAAAATGTTTATTTATTTATTTTTTGTTTAAAAAGTACAATAGTCATTTTGTTACAGGTATTATGGGGTATTACGCTTTAGGTGTACAAAAATGTATAAAAGTAGCCATAACAAAAATGTAAGATTGTCATTGTGCGTGCCCATCCGAAAGCAAAAGTACAGAGGTAGAAAAAATATATAATTTTAGAATAAAATATTGAATCAAACTATTTTTCAGGCAATCAAAAAGGAACTGTGGTCTTACAAAGAATTTTGCCATAAAAGACATACACACTGGCAACCAAGATCCAAAGCCCCAATCATGTACCTTGACAGGCACCATCTGTCATGCTATAAGCGTTACTATCTCAAGAGTTTTGTTCTCGAGCGTCAAGGCAACTGGAATAGCGCGTATATTCGATACGCATTCAAATGTTGCAGATATGTCTTCATTGTGCTTTAAAAACAACCGTTGGATGTAACCTCGTCCCCAGTCCCTTATCAATCCGTTTGGAGTAGGGTGGGATATTCTAGACTCTTACACAGTCCCCTGCTCGGCTTTGGGTCTTCTCACACTGTGAGAAGACCCAAAACCGAGCAGGGGACCACTGGAAAAAATCGCGCGCCATAAGAGGTTGTAAATTTGATGTATATATGATGTAAGTGTCCAAAATGATGTAAATTTGATGTAAATCATTTCCATCAAATTTACATCATTTTGGACACTTACATCATATTTCCATCAAATTTACAACCTTTATGGCGCGATTTTTTCCAGTGGACTGTGGAAGAGTCTAGGGATATTCCGCCTACCGAAGGGATAAGATCATGTTGACGAAGTTGTGTCAAAGACAATCGGAGGCTAATAATCTTACTCAGCACTTTTATAGAAGACTTGGTATGTTATGTTATGTTGTTCATTAAACTCGGTGTTGATATCATGCGTCTAGCTATTTGTAACAAATTACAAAAGACACGATAAAATATATAGCAAGGGCGCCGGGAACAAAGGATGAGTCGAGGGGGTCGCGCGCGGAGCCCCTTTATACATAAATATTAAAAAAACATAYATATTATATTTCCCTTGATACCCTTATTCTATAGATACTCCTCCACAACAGCTCATCCCGCTCACGGTGACAGTCATAAATACCGGGAGGGGGCTGTGAAACCAGAGGTGGGGAGCCTAGGCCTCTTGGTAATTATTGCACAGTCCCTAAATAAAATGGGTTTTGTTCGACTATAAATCTTGCATAAATTCAAGGTATTGTTTGATCAGTTCCGATGCAGGCCCGTAGGCTGGGTTCGGACGAACCCCTCCCCCTCCCTCCCCACAAGATTAAAAGGTCCGGTGTTTTTCTTTTTCTATTGTTCTATTTTAAAATTATTTTGTTATGAACTGTTAATAGTAATTTGTATGAACTGCTCACACTAGCAGCCATTTCACTTACATTATATATACTGTGCATTGAGTAGTTTAGTCCGCATTATGAAAACGAACCCCCCATTTGTAAGGCAGCCTACGGGCCTGCGATGCATTTTTGGTGAGTTCGGACGACTTCTTTCAGTTAAAACAATATTTTATCCGCCATCCGTTCCTCTTCGTTTCCTATAAGTACTGTTTCCCCTTCTTACTTTTTCGTTTTTGTTTCTTTTTTTAAGAATTGCTTCTTTTTGTGCACTTGAATTTTTTCACTTTTCCTATTTTTATCTATATCTTTTTTGTCGAATTTTCTTCAAGCTCATTTATTCGCCGCGGGTCTTGAGCACTAGTGCAGGCTGCTTGTCCTCATAAATTATTCATTATAACGTGTTATTTACATAATTCGGCGCTGTTACCAGGATTACAAGACGTCGTAATCCCCGAACTTCACTCTTGCTCTACGGCTGTCTCTTTTACTAAAGTGTAAGATGGAAGACGTCTCAAGTCCAACTTTAGTTATGGTAGATGATCCCCTACAACAGCACATCGCTCTAGCAGACAAAACTCAGGACGATAAAGTTGAAGAAAGCGTCGAGGTCAGTTAGCAACCACGGAAAACTCTTAAAATTCAACATTTCGCGATAATTTATTATCTCCTTTACCTCCTTGCATGCTGGGCACTCTGAATTTATAACTTAAATACATACCTTTGAATGCTTTCCTTATCTACCTGGTCCTGACTTGCATGTTCACTTCTATGATGCCAGGAACAAGAATTGATACAACAAGACGATGCAACAAGATCAAACATGGTACTTCTTTCAGGTTGGAAAATGTCTTATTTTTAGTGCCATATATTCATTTGTGTTAGATAACCTAGAAAACCTTCTCTAATTCGTCCGATTTACCTGGCTAAAATATGCTTGAATCTGAATATTTAAAAAAATCTTATCTGATCTATTCACTTTTTTTCTATTGAAAAAGTGCTTAAGTTTATAGTAAGATAAAATTCATAACTCGACATTTCTGTCAATGCAATATTTCAATATTTGTTGTATACATCGTGCTATTGCTTGAGATTTTGTTTTAGAAACGGTGTAAATACACAGCTTCATTCGATATCCGACCGGCTAATCAATAAATGTTCGTGACACTCGTATATCCCGTTCGGCAGCACCACCGATCACACCACTTTTATCGATTGTTATTTTGTGCCTCTTTTTCTCACTTTTTCTTCCTAAATAACTACTTATTACAAAGTCTGTGGGTGAATACTCGTTTATGCAAGAATCTAAGTGGTTGATGGTGCCATTGGTGGTATATTTTTGGCTATTTTCATGGTTGTAAGTGGGTAATGATCGTTTCTACTCTGACCGCACATCAGATCAGGTACGACTACAGTACACTTCTTTGCACTGATTGATTTGGTTTGTCTTAGAATTACTTTGTACTTCTAACAAGCCATTTGCCGATATTTATTTTGAATTACTTTGACTCTAAAGGGAGGCTATAAAAAGTTATATTTTCGTTAAAATTAATATGTTTAACTTATGTTTATCAATCTGTGTTGTGTTGTCCAGCCTATAAGGCGATCTAATTAACGAAAAACTCTTTGCTCCGTTTGCTTTGCTTTAAGTTTATATTCTGCCATCCCTGACGATTGATATTTTTATGTAAAATTCCTTTTTGTCCTGTTGTTGTATAATAAAAACAATAGCAAAGTACCCATGGGAGCACTTCTTTTATAAAACTTGTAAAGTTAGATCTAGGCAAAATTTGAATAATTGGATAATTCATGATAATAATTTCCTTCATTTCAAAGCGACAAAAATCTTTTGAAATTCTTTCTGTGCGTTTCGTTTCAGCATCTTCGCCATGAAATATTCATCTTATGCTTGAAAAATCCTTTATTTTGAAAACATTGTTCAAATGTCATGTTTTCGGTGGAATGGCTCACCTAAAATGCTGGCCCAATTGTTGTATTGGTAGTTTGAATGAGGTTATTTGATGTTCTCGATTGTTGTACGTCGGTATATTCACAATAATTACACCTGTCCAAAGGTCCTCTTTAGGTTAACAGTGTTTAGCTGAAATACTTACCAGTCACCGCAGAATTTCATTATTTTTTTAGTAGCGCTGTTAGTGTAATGAATTATTCTGCATTGTAGAACGCTCATATAAGCTCGCGATTTGCAAGAAGAGAAAATCACTTGCGGCAATTTTCGATGAATCGCATTTAATAGGCCTTTTTTCCCCGAGAATTGGCGTTTGAACTGAAATGGCAGCTAACGAGGTGTTTGCTGAAAATGCTACTCCTAGGAAAAAGAAAAAATTCCGGTCTTTCAGCTTGGGTAAGCGTTGTTGGTGTAAGCTTTCATGGTTGGTTTAAGGAAGGTCATAATTCCATTTTACTTTCAGAATTTCAACCACACAAACTCCATTTTTTCTTTGTACTTTGACACTTCCCGTGTATTCTAGTAGTTTTTCTGTCAATTTGATTGTATTTTAACACTAATATACATTGGGTTCATTGTGTATGTTATCACTGTTTTCAGCCATCAAATATGAAGTAATTGTTTACATTTCTTTAACTAGTAATTTCTTCGAAAGTTATCAGTTCTTGATGTAATAGTAAGATTAGATAGATATTGTGTTAGGTTGATTAAGCAATGACTGACTAATGGCAAATTGAATTGTAGTGGTTCATTGTAGGTTATGGTTGATTTGCTTTTCTCTTTGTATGTAAGACATGACCTGGTTGTATATGGAGAGTAAGTTATCCATCACAGATATCACTTATCAACTGTTACATCAACATATTTTTCTTCTGTTTGATAAGGATTTTAACTTTTTGTACAAATGTTCAAAAATTGAATAATTGCAAAAAAGGAAAACTATATTTCAAATGTTAAATATTTTACTAGTAACAACTATATACATGGAGGCTACCTCAGCAGGATCTGAACTTTCACAAATTTAGCACCAGTAATACCTGTGATGTCATCTCAGTGGATTAAAGGGTTTCAACTTAAAAAATTATGCTAATCTTTTTAAAGAATCCAAAATCACAGCAACAGGATTCTCAGCAGGAAAATAAGTAGATGGCTGTTCTAGCAAAAGTAACCAGAGGTTCTGCAGGTCTATCAACAAGAAAACTGTAGATACTTCCATAAACCTATGATTAAGTAATAAGCTGTAATTTTCACAGGCTAGCAGTACTATTGAGAATGCTGCAGGCAGTGGCAAAGAAAGTGATGATTCCTGTACAGAACATTAAGTATTTGGCCTGATTTGGCTGGACAATTTACCAGGGAAAATACATGTTTTGTGGTTCCCAGATTATGTCAATATTAGCTCATATAAATAAGCCTATAATTTATAAGCCCAAACTTGGGCAAATTAACCCCTGAAAGATTCTTAGTTAACAGCTCAAAGACAGCTCAATGTCGGAATTATGCGCGGATGCGGACGCGCATAATTGCCCCCTTTCCGCACAATTTACCAAATCGCGCATAATCCCGCATAATTCGTGTTTTTTTCCCATGTTATACCATTTTTTAAGATGACTTGCCTTCTACTAATGTTTTTTTGTGGTCCATTGACTGTTTTTTTGATCAAAAACGCTCCCAAACATGCTTATAATTTTCCGAATATAGTTTTGTTTTCGTGGGCTTCGCAAATGTACCAGGCGTTCAAAATTTCATCAGAAAAGAGTCTGGGCACTAGCATTACTGGTCACCCTGTGCCTTACTAGATCACGTGACAAATTCCAATATGGAATTTGATACAAGTGAGATGTAAAGCGTGCGAGAATGAAAAAGTCTAAAAAGATCTTTCCTTCTGTTGGTACTRMCTTCTKTACTTCGWAACTAAGATAAAAACGGAGTTTTGCATGAAAAACAAACACAATAACCTAAATATATGTAAAATTTCCCAAAGTTTACGTTCCTGTGATGATGTCATCCCGCATAACTTTCCGCATAATTCACCCTTTTCTCCGCATAATATGGGGAAAAAATTCCGCATAATTTTGATTTTTTTCGCGCATAATTCGGACATGCCTGTCGTAGGTTTAAAAAAAATCTTTAGCTGTTATGGGGAATTAGGTCTTCAAAATGCCATGGTACACACATGTGATTGGTGTAAAATTAGCCTGAGTCATCAGTATCTAATTTCTGAGTTTGGTGGCAGCCCGCATAACACTTTTTCTCTGAGATGGATTGTGTAATAAAACTGTATGGTACACTAGGATTGAAAAGAAATAGAGGAAACAGAGGCACATGGAAATAATTTTTGAGATGTTTATTTATAAGACATGAAGTAGTCTCAAATAAAATAGAAATATCTAAGTACCCTTTATGATATATTGTATGAAATGTGGTTAATTGATTGGTTGACTGTCTGATTAATTGATAGAGTGATTGGCAATTGATCTGGGTAAAAAATAATTGATTAATTGATTAGATCTTTAGCTGTTAACTGATTGATTGATCAGTTAACAAATAGCTTGACATTGTTTATCGCTTTTATATTATAGCATTTTCGCATCCATTCGTTTACCGATGAAATAACCAACAACATTTGACCATTCAGAGATAGTTTACTATGATAGATGTAATATTACAAATATATGATTTTTACCAGAAGATTCAAGGAAGAACAATGAACAATAAACATCTTAATGTAATGCAGAAACACTAGCGAATTGTTTTTTTAATAACATTATTACTTAAAAGTAATACCTCACGCAAAGTAAAGTAAATAGAATAAGGACTAAGTACTAAAGGCCCATTAAACTGGCAGTTTTTGTGGTCATTTTGAGAGCATAATGCTAAAGAATTAACTTGTAATTAAACTTTTATATTCAGTACACTGAGATTAGCTAACAAAAGTCTCCTCAGAAGGATAAGACAAAATCTAATTATATTTTTAAGAATCGCCCRATAAACTGCTACAAAAATTACCACAAACATTGCAAGTGTAAATGGGACTTAAGTCTCCTAGATTATTTTTATTTAAATATTTTATTGAGTTTGCATGTTTTCTTGTTTACAGCGGATACATCACTACTTTCTGGTTTTTCACGAACAAGAAATAATGATTCACCAGACAACAAGGACTTATCTAGTGGGAGTGTATTACGGACTGGATCAGGTAACAAAATAAATATTGACATGTGTCAATTCATAGTAATCTTGCTTTTTAGTTCCATGTCATAACTTTAAAAAGCAAATTCATGATTATGTCATAATCATATATGAAATAACCAAAGATACAGCAATATGCAGAAATTCTGATCTTTTTGATTCATATGAAATATATCAGAAATTATGGGATATCATCGCCAATATTTTTTTCAGCAATGATATCCCATAATTTCTGATATATTTTTATATACTTTAAATATGAGTCAAAATGATCATAATTTCTGCATGTTACTGTATATTATCTCCACTTAGACATTTATAGTATTGGGTAGTTCCAGAAAATATCCGTACCATACGACGGGCGGCATCGATTTTCGACCCCCCCTCTCCTTGGGAAATTCCGAAATTGGGTATCCCCCCTCCCCTTAGGAATTCCAAAATCGTGTTTTGCCCCCTAGGAAATTCATTCCCCCCTTGGAAATGAATGAGAATACATATTCTCTTCAAAACAAGCACTGTTTTAGAGAACGCAATCGTAAAACTGTCAGATCGTTTGAAAACAATGCATCGTCTAGATTCGTGGAAGTGCTTAAAAACACGCAAAAATCATTTCCGTTGGAATTACTTATCTTATACCTTGTATAGTTAATTTCTATTAACAAGTGTTCGAAGTAGTGAGACTCGCAAGAAAAAAATACTACGCATTGTGATCTGCGACCAAGACGACCGAGACGCCATTAATTTCTGTCAAGAAACCGCTGACCATATGTTGTTTACAATCGGCGATCACGGACCCATGCAGATGCTTTAAACTTTGTTAAAATGACTCGAGAATAAGCTGCGTTGCTTTCAATTTACGTATTTTGAATTCATATACAGTTTTAGATGTTTTTGTCGTGGTTTTCAAACGTTTTTATAGTGATTTTTTCGACTCGTAAATCGTGATCAACGTAATTACCGGTTGAAGGTGTCGAAGGTCGTTTTCTATAAGACATAATATGTCTATAATTCCCCTCCCCCTTCCTTTGGATTTCCGAAATCGTTCAGCCTCCCTCCCCTTTGGAATTCCCAAATCGATGACCCCCCCTCCCCTCTGGATTTCTGAAATGCCGCCCGTCGTATGGTACGGATATTTTCTGGAACTACCCATTACTATTTCGTACAATTTAGTGGTTTGTGTTTCATGCTTTTAGTAAGGGTACTCTAATAGAGTCATTATCATCCGTAAGTGTTTAATAGTAACTTACTATTAAGGCAAAATCAAAACCATGTTTGCCTAATTAGTTTGTCACATGTCATAAGTTAAA